CTCCACGTCAATGGCAGATGTTGCTGCTGGAATTTGAATAATGCCAAACGGCTAAAGCAAAGTGCTCGTAGAATTCAAAACAGCCATCTCAGTGAGTGTTCAGTGGGTGCTGGCTCCCACACTCTCTCCTTGCTTTCGCTTCCTGGGCGCCTAATTAAAACTCATTACCATAAGCATACAACTTGAGCAAGCAAATTTCCTCCGTTCCAAACCATATCAAAAGCAGACTGCAGGAGGCAAGAACTATTAGAAGGAGACGGTGATAAATGGCAGACGGAAAATTTCAATCAATTTTCAAATGAAGCAGAAAGAGGCGGGTAAAGAGAGAGAGAGAGACAGGGGCAGTGTGTGGACAGGGCTGGACAGGAGCTATGGGGTCGTTTAACCTTTTCTTTGGATAATGCAATTTCCTTGCCAGACGGCGGCAATTTCTGGGTTTTATACCCTGTACGGGATGAACAGGGGATATTCCTGCCGGTATATCTCAGGATTAGCAGCAGCTTTTCCAATCCGTTCATAGATATTATATTAATTGGGAATTTAAAAAGAATGCCGTTATGTGTATGTATGTATGATTAATATAAACCTGTTGAGTATGATGTCTTTGTGCAAATGGTGATAAAACAAGGAAGAGGGTACTATATAATTCTGCCTTGTTTTTGTTTCTTTTTGGCTTCCACTATTTGAGGGTTGAATTTGCTTTAAGTTTCCGCACCTATCCCTCCGCTCACCTCCTGTTGTGTGGACGGCTTTCGTGTATCAGTCACCCCTGTACCATAGTAAAAGTGAAAGCCACATGCGTGCAACGACCCCTTTTTCATATGTATGCTTCGCTTCATCCCCTCTCTCTTTAGTCTCCGGCGCACTCTCTCTCTCTCTCTCTCGCTCGGTCTCTGCTCCTTTTGGCATTAGCTCTCTTTTCGCTTGACACTCTCCCTATCTATTCCATCGCATCCATCCCACTCTCTCTTGCTCAGTTTTGTCTGCCTATTTATTTCCCTTTTGCACTGTTTGCTGTTGTTCTTTTACCCGTCGAAAACTTTTCGACCACGTGCTCAACAGTTTTGTCATGCTGTTGACTTCTGTGCGCCTGTTACAGTGCCGGCTCGCATTTTTGTGCCAGGCTAAAAAGGACGAAGCGATGAGTGAGATTTTCTCTCACTTTCACTCCCACTCTCCCTATGCTTTCATCATGCCCTCTCTATCTCTCACTCTCCCTGTTGAATAGTGGCCATTGAAACTCAACTCAAAAGTTAAGTGTGCCTTGCGTTTGTATTGGTTGGTTGGCGGCTTTTCAGGATTTTGGAGAACAGAAACTCAGGGTTTGAGAGAAATGGAAACGAAGGAAAGGAAGCTCGAGTTTTAGTTTTTGGCGTCTGCTTTTGTTTCGCTGAAATTGTTGTTTGTAGCTGTTTCCCCACTTGGCGGTACGGGTTCAGGGGCTTGTCTCTAGTGCCAACTTTTTGAAATGTTCGTTATTGTGCGCCTCTTTCTCCCCAATTGGGTCGTGGGTTTGTGGTTAGGTTGAGAATGAGGTGGGGAAACGGTATGAACTGAATGAATATGCAAGCTGAAAATTAGAAGTGGACGGAGTGGTGCAGGTAAAATACATACATATATTCGGGATCCATCCAGAATGCGTCAACAGGAAAATCAATCAGTGCTAAAGCATAGGTTATATTATCGATATTCGGAAAACCATCTTGAATACGCTACAGCCCTAAGTGTAATGTAATCGTACTTAATAAACCCAGCCTAATACAATTGTGGGGCAACGTTTTAGATGCTTTCACTTAGTGGAGGTGGGTAAGTTTCGTGGTGGCTGGGCACTTCCCAGTTAGGGCAGCTTTTCGCATGCTCTTCTTCTGCATCTGAGATATACCGAAAGTTAACCTTGGCGTGCCGCATCCGGAGACCAGCTACCGCCCATGGCACTCTAGGCGCCCATCCCTCACTCACCCCAAAAGTTGGGCTAGCCTTACTTCTGGCGGCTCTTCCTTATCAGGACTGGATATTGACTGCGATACTCCTGCCAAACTTTCGCACCCTTTAAAGGGCCCTAAGGCCCTGTCTCGACTTGTCTGTTTACGGGCGCCGCTGGGGCAATTGCTTGCTTGGTTTGCTGATCATTACAGTACATCATTTGAAACGAAATTTCACTGCCACTTCCATTTCCAAGGGCTGCCGTTTTCCCGTTTCCGTTGCCATTACCACCCACAGCCTGGAAAGTATGGGTAAGTGGCTTGCGTGAGGGAAATAGAAACCATGTGACCATCTCCCATCCCGTCTATTTCTCTCTCCAGACGCTCGTGTTGGGGAGGGTGGATATTGCTGGGTGGGTTTTGGTTAGATTTGTTTCTTGTGCCAGACAAAGCGTAAGTTTTCTATTAGACAACGGGGCAGGGTGACTTTTACAGCGTCAGCTAGAATGAAAATAAAAAGGGAAACTGACGTATTTGTAAGTTCAGGTCATTTATTATGCTCATGACACCTTTCAGGCATCCCAAAATTTTGGCATCCAGCCACCCCTTTTCTCACCCACATTTTGCCAGCCATTGCAGCCTCATGGCAACATTTGTCATCCCTCGTCCCGCCTCCCGTTATGCTGCTTCCATTGTTGGCTGCTGGGTGAAATTATGCATCAATTCATAAAACTGGCTGGCTGGCCACGGCTTATCGATTGAAGCTGGGGATGGTTGAGCTTAGGTATATTCCGATGCTGTGCGGTTGGGTCTATTTCGATGTGTGGCACCATTTGAATGGACTTACCACAGGAGATTAAAGAGGATCAGTTATGGCACAAAGCCTTACCTTGACAGGTACTAATTGAAAACTGTATTTCTGATATAAAAAAAGTAATTTGGAATCATCAGAGAATATAAAGACAAGGCTTGGATATGATAATTTTTAAGTCTGAATTCTTATTGGAGCAAGAAAGATTAGTTTTAATTTATTTTTATGTCTCTGCTCTTCTGAGCCATTTCTTATTCATTTTAGTTATACTCCCACAACACGCTCCTTTAGCTCGCCCCCCTTCCCTAGACCCACACACTGCAGACTCTCGGCAGAGGCAGAGGAAGAGGCCACATACTGCAGAAGCAGAGTGTGAATGAGAGAATGTGAAAAAAACAAGTATAAGCTGCGGGACGGGGTGGGTTTAGCCACTGCAAAACAAATTCATCATTCTGGCTATAATAATGATCCAATCGGATCCCAATTTGGTGATCCATCCCTACAGAATGGCGTTTTTAGATTTCTTTTATCTTCAAAATGTTGGAGGTTTTCGCCCTTTTGCGGGGGCGGAAGGGGGCCTATCTCATTTTTGAAATACACTTGTAACAGTGTGAAGAAGTCTGAATGCAAAATTTGGTGGCTCTAGCTTGTATGGTACTAAGGAGCTTTTATGGTCTCTGAGATCCAGGCGCTCAATAAGAAGGACGGACGGACGAACAGACAGACATGGCTCGGCTATTGATGCTGATCAAGAATATATATACTTTCTGGGGTCTGAAACGTTTCCTTCTGTGCGTTTCATACTTTGTGCACAAATACAATATACCCTATTTACTCTTCGAGTACCGGGTATAATTAACCCAAAGAAATTAAATCCCAAGGACCCCAGCGACACAAACTGTATGGACCGCAAACTGTGAGCCAATTTAGATAAGCTCAAGGATATATAAAGAGCTCACCAGCACCAACCGCACCAGGGCAGGGTGTTGACAGTTTGCTGTCTGTGCGCCACACTCCATTCATATCTTGTGCAACGTAACAATTAGTAAAGACCATAAAACGAGGCAGTCAGTCGAGTAGAGCAAACGGGTAGGATGTGGGGAAAATTATGGAGCCGAAATCTAGTTGAAGTTGAAGTTGTTTACATTCCTGTCGAAAAAGCATAGAAAAAGTGCACTAAAGTATCTAAATTTGTGAGAGAAATACAGAACAGAATGGGGGCCACAAGCACAATCTATACACTATTCGATGTGTGTATGTAAACTCCCGCAGATACTCGCACATGCTGTGCCCTGCAGATGATGCATTGAACCTGGAAGCGGGCACTGTGTATTCATGACTACAGTTTAGAGTAAATACAAAATTCAAATTGTGAAGCGAGGAATACAAACTTCCAACTTGTTGCCTTCAATTATCGTGCAACTTTCAGCCTCCCCTGCCCTTCCCGCCCGCTGGAGAATCATCTAAATAAACAAAGAACCGAACGAGCAGAAGCTATAAAAAAACCCAGCCCCAGACGATAGTTGGGGCAAACACATACATATGTATGTACATAAATGGTCTCGAAAATGAATAGATCCCGGCATGGAACTAATGCATGTTTTCGTATAAATTTCTCTCCACAAAAATGTGTTAAATGTTTGCGTAAAAAAACAATCAGAGAACAGGAATTTTCAAACAACATCTCCTACCGCCAGAGCCGCACCCGTATTCTACCGAGACTTAGCTCTTTCCTCTTTCTTGGGTTCAGGTTCTGCTTCGGGTTAAGGTTCGTGTTACTAGCATTCGCTGGTAGCAATGTTTCGTTTGTTTTTTCCGCCTTTCCTGGGAAACGCTGTTAGCTGGTCAGGCTTTGGTTTTCGGTATTTGCTATTTGGTTACCAAGTCAAGTGGCAGGTTACCCTTCAATCGGCCCACTCACCACACTGAACCTTAGCCAACCCAAGCGTTCCAGAAATGTTGATATACCTTCATTCGTGGTTGCAACCGATAGAACTGCAGCTGAAGCCATCTCGAATAACGCCCATGCTAGCAAAGTGCAGGTGTGTGGGGAAAATCGTATTACAGATTGTACGGAAAAACAGAAGCTAACGATGTGTGAAGAATGCGTACATATAAAATAAGATCTCTCTAAAATGTTTCAATTTTCTTTACTCTGGAACTTGTGAGAATATTAAATCCTTTGTAGATCCACTATAATAGTTTTTAGAGTCTTGATTTTGCTGATTCAATGTCTAATTTAATTCGATCCCTTATCTTCCCGTTAGAACGCGTCCTGCGCTACTGTGAATCCCCGTCAGTGGGCACCTGCTGCACCTACAACATGGAGACCCGCATGGCGATGCAGTCGCGCCAGCAGCTCGAAGGACACACTAAGGAGCAAATCACGCGAATGTCGGGCATCCTGGGCAGCAAGGCCGTCAAGTTCAATGGTACGTAATCGAGGTTTACTCCCGTTTCCCTCAACAAGCCACTTGAATCTGACACAGTCCCCAAACGCTGGAACGCATTGATGAGGGATAACAAGAAGGAGCCACCGATTCGAGATTCGTGATCGAGTTTGCGGGTGTCAAGTGGTCGCTGCCACTAGCATGGTGCATGGTGATATTTAGAAAATCGGGCTGGCCTCGAGTTACACACAATGTCAAGTGGCAGACGACAATGCGGATGTTGTTAGCTCATTCAATCTCAACGGATGCAGCATGCAACTTGGTTGGGGAAGAGGCCAGAAATAAATATAAAATCGAATTCGAAACATTTAGTTGGGCGGATGTGCGTTATTTTCCCCAACTCAAAATGTTCTTGCGGTCTGTGGTCTGAACATTTTTCTTTAATTTGATTTTCCTCTCTCTCTCTCTCTCTCTCTCTCTCTCTCTCTCTTCTGTCTCTCTCTGTCTGTCTCTTTGTTTTGCAGATATTTTCAGCGAATTGCTGGTGGAATCAAAGGCCCAGTTCCACACGATGTTCATGCGTACCTATGGAGTGATCTACCAGCAAAATTCGTACGTCTTCTCGGATCTTTTCAAGGAGCTGGAGAACTACTTTGCCCGAGGTCGAGTCGATCTGATGGATGTCATGGACAAGTTCTTCAACACGCTCTACCAGAAGATGTTTACCGTGCTGAATACCCAGTACGCCTTTGACGAGAAGTGAGTTGCCATCCATCCAACCATCTCTCCTTAATGGGGGTAATCGAAACCAACATTTGGAGACAAAGGCAAACGTGTGAAACCGCAGTGTCTCGGGCTGTCAACCGGCGACGACGAAGACGGAACTTTGACATTGCCTCCTGCCTGGTGTGCAATTTCAGTTGACGATTCAATATACATTTACACCCTACGCCCTACGCTCTATGCCTGCTCTCGCTTAAAGTCTCTTTTGTTTTCGTCTGAATTTGATTGCGGTTAACACGCTTAAAGGTTAGAGGAAACGAGTCCAAAACGAATGGGGGATATACTGAATGCTAATGAGTACATACATACTCAGGCGTCCTACACGCATCAAAGATCTCCTCTACCTACAGTACATCCAACTAAGAGGCGTAAAGATAGATAGATAGTCTGCCCAAACCGACTACTCAACCCAATCATGCTGGCGCATCCCTGACCCCCCGATTCCTATACCCAGACATGGAGCCTCAGCCAACAGCAGAGCCCCATCCCCATTCCAAATGTAACCGCACTTTATGTCAGTTCCTGTTCCACATTTGCTCGCATTTCCAGATCCTAAAAAAAAAAAAACGAGAAGGAACGTGTGACACGCTTCTTACGCGTCACAACTTGTATACCCGGTACTCAGTACAACATCTGCCCCTTAGAGGTTTTCATCAAATTTTATATTTTTTCTTCATACTTTTTTTAAATACACATGTAACAGTGTGAGCATACAGAAGTCGGGATGCAAAATTTTGTGGCTCTAGATTTTATGGTCTCTGAGTACTAGGAGCTCATCAGGACGGACTGACGGACGGACAGACAGACATGGCTCTATCGACTCGGCTATTGATGCTGATCAAGAATGTATATACTTTATGGGGTCGGAAACATTTCCTTCTGTGCGTTACATACATTCACTTTGTACACAAAAACAAAATACCCTAATTACTCTTCGAGTACCGGCTATAAAAAACATTGCGCCCTCTTGTCTCATAGCACTGGAACGGGTAAGGCTACTCCGGTGACCAGCGACTTGGATTGCAATGTTCCGCGCTCCTGGCTGTACGACATTTTGGTGTTACAGGCTTCTGCTCCAGCTCCAGTCGCAGGCTCGTGTTACCCACGCGATGTAACATGCCGACTCTAATACCCAGCGATTTTCTGCCTCTCACATTGTTTGCGATTCGCTTTTATTGTCATCGTTTTAGTTTGTCGTACTTTGGCACATTGTCCGTTTACTGCCATTGGACGACAACCACAGGAATAGCTATGTCGCGTGATTGCCGGCACTTGCCTGACTACCAGACATTCCCGCTCCTCCACGCCCTGCCCTGTCCAACCCTAGGGCTGCTTCTTGTAATTTTTTTGGTGCCGTGGTGGATCGCCCTCAGAATAGATCAAGGGCGCACACCCGAGATCCCTCTGGAGAGGAGGCAAAATCACTTAATGAGGGGGTAACCTCAGCAGTTGGTTGTGGCGGCGCACACATGGAGAGGGTCAATGAAATACGGTGAAATGGCAGAAGGAGGGGTAACGGGTTTTTGTGACGCCACATAGAAGACACAACACACACAATGATTTCCATATGACCATGAAAATTAATTGATCGTGAAAAAAGACCTACCCCACATAACGTTGCCTTTTTAGTTAATTAATTACTAGCTTCTTGCTATCAAGAAAACTCTTAGATCTGCCCTCCCATCATGGGGGCCAGCTGCCGCGGCTGCTGCTTGACTGGTGACAGATACCACTGTAAATGCAACTGGCAGTAATTTCTAAAGTGTTTAGCCTGAGTCAAAGCTGCTGCTTCGTCGTCTCTTCTTGACCATGGTAACAGGGACAGCAACAGTAACATTGTGCATTGCTACAAGTGAATTGACTATGTATTGCCTGATGACCGAACGGTAGGACTAGGCCCACAGCACATTCGTATCCGGTCCTAGGTGCACCACTCCATGATGAGGCCAGAACAGCAACAACACATGGCGAGCAACTATTTTTCATAAAACATTGTGGGGTGTGCATAGAGAGGATTGCGTGGGGTCATGGAGCAGCCGGAGGCGGTGAGCCATGCTATTTAAAAGGGCAGATTTCCGCTAACAAGCAATGTAAATATTTTTCCTTTAATTCCTCCTCATTTTTCCTCCGTAGATACATGCGGTGCGTCAGCGAGCATATGAAGGAGCTGAAGCCGTTTGGGGATGTGCCGGACAAGCTTTCCGTTCAGATCAAGAGATCATTTGTGGCTACTCGCACCTACGGACAGGCCCTGGCTACGGCTGCCGATGTGGTAAAAAAAGTGCTGAATGTGAGTATGCTGAGCGCAAATGTCCATTCAATCTAACCCAATTTCTTTCGCGCCATAGATCCGCCTCAATGCCGACTGCACGGGCGCACTGACGAAGATGCAACACTGCGGGGCCTGCAAGGGATATACGGAGAAGCCCTGCACCAACTACTGCGTGAACGTGATAAAAGGCTGCCTCCACTACCAGCACGAGTTCGAAGGCGAGTGGGAGAACTTCGCACTGGCCATGGACAAGGTCGCCGAGCGTCTCCTGGGCTCCTTTAACATTGTCATGGTCGTGGAGCCCCTAAACATCAAGATATCTGAGGCCATCATGAACTTCCAGGTTTGTTTTGCCAAATACATATACACACTAACATACATACATCCATACATCAGAGTTGTCGCGTAGTCATTAGAATTTGCATAAGCCAATGAATGGCTATTTGCAACTCGCTTTTGGAAAAAAGATCTGTCGGTTGGTTTTAAGACTCTTCGGAGTGGGGAGTTCTTACATGGTCTAGGATAGGTTAATGGTCGCGCTTCTTAAATCAGACCCCAACCCAATAGATGAATTGTTTCTTAGTGAAACCCGTGAGAAATACTTACTCGATCAACCTACAACGGGCTGGGTAACTATTCCAGCTGACTGCATTTGAAGGTAAAAGACAAATGCTTTAAGTATGCATGGCATTTAAATAGAAAGAAGAGGAAATAGTTCACAGATGCGTGGCCATAACTTATTGAAATTTGGTTAATGTATTTTAGCTCTCCCTTCAGTCCGTTCGTCCTCTCTGGCCAGATTGATGTTCTTGTTGTGTGTGCCATTTGAACGATTTATTTGGGCAACATTTGGCTCGCATATGAAATTAATTTATATATCCACCTTAAATTTAAACATTTCTCGCCGCTTCTTCTTCTGTTTCTACTTTTTTCGCTGCCTTGTGTTCTTTGTTTCTACAATATTATTGTTGTTTTACGGCATTTTGTTTTTAATGTGTTTACTTTTGGAAGTATTTCACATACATACATACATACACACCAACATACACATACCGTACGGGGTACATATACGTAAGGGGCTATTTTGAAAAAATACCAAATAGTTTTTAATTATACCCGGTACTCGAAGAGTAAATAAGGTATATTGTATTTGTGCAAAAAGTGAATGTATGTAACGCACAGAAGGAAACGTTTCCGAGCCCATATAGTATATATTCTTGATCAGCATCAATAGCCGAGCCGATTGATCCATGTCTGTCTATCCGTTCGTCTTGTTGAGCGCCTGGATCTCAGAGACCATAAAAGCTAGAGCCACAAAATTTTGCATCCAGACTTCTGTATGCTCACACTGTTACAAGTGTATTTCAAAAATGAGAACCGCCCCTTTCCGCCACCGCAAAAGGGAGAAAACCTCCCAAACCTACAATTTTGAAGATAAAAGAAAACTAAAAACGCCATTCCGTAGGGAATGACCATATCTATCAGATCACTGAATTGGGATCCAATTGGATCATTATTATAGCCACAATGAAGAATTAATTTGCAGTGGCTAAACCCACCCCGTCCCGCAGCTTATATTTGTTTTTTTCTCATTCTCTCATGCACACTCTTCTCCTGCAGTGTGCGGCCTCAGCCTCTGCCGTGACTCTGCAGTGTGTGGCTCTAGGGAAGGGTGGCGAGCTAAAGCAGCGTGTTGGCGTGATAAGTGTTGTAGATGTAGATGACAGATGAAGAAAAAATGTTAAATTTGACAACAAAAAAAACAAAAGGTACAGATGTAGTACTGAGTACCGGGTATAAAAGTTTTGACTCGTAAGAAGCGTCTCACACGTCCCTTCTCGTTTAAATTTTAATTCCTATGCGTTTTCTAATGCTGCCTCGACTCTGGCGGTATCCTAATTTGAACTTAGCTAAAGCCGCTTTTGATGATTGCAATCTCGCTCGGCTTACCTTGAATTTTTTAAGTCTAAGAAGAACGGGAAACAACCTCTTCCATTGCGGGAACATGTGTACATACGTACATATGTATGTATCTAAATCAGCTGTAAAGATAAGTTTGATGGATAAGTTTCGTACACTACTAAGAGAAAGAGATGTGAAGTTCGTGACAAAACAGTCGGACAGGCAAAGATTCTACTCCGCGCAAAGGTCTCTGATCACTCGAGTGTCTCTTAATGAGTAGCTGGTGGGAATCAATACTTATCTGTAGCCATTAAGACTTTATATTTTGTGGGTTGTGAATGGAATGGAATTGATTTGAAATGTGTTTGTTTTTTTACCAGTAAATTGGGAATTTAATACGAAATCGAATCTTGAACTTTTTGCCGCAGGACTCTGGCCAAGACATCACCAACCGTGTGTTTCAGGGTTGCGGTAGACCCACCCTAAGGCGAGCAAAGCGCTCCGTTCACCCCAAGCTCCAGCCAGTACAAGAAATCAATGTGAATGGCCCCGCCGAGCCGGATACCCTGGACATAGACGCCACGCTAGATGAGGCGATTGTGCTGAGAGAGCGAAGAGCTGCAGAGCCAGGCTCACAGGAAAGCTCCGTCCCATCACAGTCCCAGGAGCAGGGCGTGGCCAATAATGGAGGAAACAATGCTGGTGATGAAGGAGGCGGTAGCGGCAACAATCGTCGCCAAAAACAGCGCCGCAAGCAGCAGCAGCGACGCAAGCAGCAGAACAACCGCAACGACAACGACGGAGATGAGAACGAGAATGGAGGCGGTGGACGCGAACCGATTCTGGACAGGATAGTTCGGGACATACGGCAACGGGTGAAGGAATATAAGAAGTTCTGGTCGAATCTGCCGCAGTCCATATGCAGCAATGAGGACATAGCCGCGAGCTCCGATGTGGATGTTCTGTGCTGGAATGGACACACCATCGACAGGTACGACAACAGAAGAGTGCAGTTAGAGTATAACTAAATCTTTATTCAACTTCATTTGTAGATACATGCATTCGATCACTACGGAGCACGGCTCCAACCCGGAGTTCATTGGAAACCCATCCAACACCCGCCAAACGGCTCAGATGTCCTCGCAGCTGTTCCATCTGAAGAACGCCGTCAGCCACCTGCGCAATGCCTACAACGGTCAGGATGTGGAGTGGAGTGAACAGGGTAGGTCAACTAAAAGCTGTATATGTCCAGTCACACCCACTAACTCCATTCTTTTTCTGTTTTGCAGAAGAGCCGTATTTGGGCAGTGGAGCTGGATCGGGATCGGGCTCAGAGGATGACGAGGACGATGACGAAGGCTCTGGCCTGGGTCCCTTCGAACCAAGCCACAAACCTGATGTGGATCGAACCTCGGTAGATGCCGACAACGATGACGACGAGGATGGCCATCCTCAGATTCCCACACACACATCCCGGCCGAATGTGGAGGACAAAAATCCTTTGGTCCACCCCACACAATTCGACCATAACAATCTTGATGATGATCAGCATGGAGATAACGATGACGAGCTGGAGGAACGCCTTGGTGATGGCGATTCCAATGCCGATGGCGATGCCACTCGCTCGTCGAGCGCACCGGAGAAGATGACGCTACGTCGCGCTCTGGTTGTCTACTTACTGCCCCTTTATATGGCGTGGTTCGGTGGCGTCTGCGCCGATTTGCTGTGATTATTCAATGTGCGACCTCGCACAGCTCCCGCCCCCACACCTCTCAGTCATTCATCCGTGAATAAAAGAAATTAGGAGAACTACACTTTATATACGAACTGCGAGTCCAAAATTTTATAAAAACTTTTGATAAAGCACTCAATATGCAATCAATCGGGATAGGAATATAGTAGGTGTAAGCTTAAGAGGATAAGAATTAAGAGGAGGAGAAAGAATACGTAACGATCCCCCATCATATAGTTCAGTAAGGACCCCTGCCTAGGTCTAAGTGCGAAATTTTAATTTCTAAGTGAAACGAGAGAGTTGAGTATGTGAAAATGAATGATTGCGAGTGCGAATGGGTGCCTGTATAATGTGATCGTTTAGCAAAAATTAAATGTAAACCCTGTAGCCCCTAGAGACCTAAGCGGTTAACATACACTTACATTTATAATATGTATTATATCTATATATATAGGGAACAGCACACACCTCTGTCTCAGAATGAAATCAATTAATCCGAACAATAAAGGCAATAACTAATGACCCCCAAGTGCCCAAACCTGAGTTAACGCTGACATATCGTGCGGCCTTAGAAAAGGGTCCTCTCATTTGTGTCTTTTAGAGACACTTCTGTCAGAAAAAATACTCTTTTCAACTAAACACACTTCGTAAGCCTAAATATTTATTCTTATTTCTGAATTCGACTATTTTAAAGAAAGAAAAGAGAAAAATACAAAAAGTAACAATGAAAATCTAAGCAGTTTTTAGTGGAAAGTGTACATCTTTAAATCAAATATGAATTGTTGCAGCAGAGGAAAAGATGTACTGGACGAAAAGACGACTGAGTTCCCTATCTTCAATGAAAGTGTTCAATCTCAGGATTTGGATTAGTCCACCATTTTCTTATTTGCCGTTATAAGACGCAAAGCTATATTCTTCAAGGTACCACCTGCGTCTTTATAGCCGGTACTCGAAGAGTAAATAGGGTATATCGTATTTGTGCTAATAACGGTTGTATGTAAGGCACAAAAGTAAACGTTTCCGACCCCATAAAGTATTATATTCTTGATCAGCATCAATAGCCGAGTCGCTAGAGCCATGTCTGTCTGTCCGTCTGTCCGTCTTGTTTGTCGGCTAATTCTCAGAGACTATAAGAGCTAGAGCCACTCAATTTTGGTTCCAGACTGCTGTATGCTCACACTGAAACCAGTGTATTTCAAAAATTAGCCCCGCCCCGGCAAAAGGGTAAAACCTCCCAAACCTACAGTTTTGAAGATAAAAGAAAACTAAATATTTGCCGTTTCGTAGGGAATGAATATATATATCAGATCAACAAATTGGGAGCCGATTGGATCATTATTATGGCCACAACGAAGAAATTAATTTGCAGTGGCTAAACCCACCCCGTCCCGCAGCTTATATTTGTTTTTTACACATTCTCTAATTCACACTCTGCTTCGCGCAGACACGTCTCTGCCCTGACTCTGCAGTGTGCGGCTGTTGGAGTGAAAAGTGTTGTTGATGTAGATGGCAGATAAAGAACGAGAAGGGACGTGTGAGACGCTTCTTACGCGTCACAACTTAGCGGTGTTTTGTCAAATTTTAAATTTTTTCTTCATCTGTCATCTACATCTACAACACTTCTCATACCAACACGCTCTGTTAGCTCGCCGCCCTTCCTGACTCGCGGCATAAGCAGAGGCAGGGCCCGTACACAAAAAAAAGCAAAAAGTTAAAAGTCGGCAGAGATGGGCAGAGGGACGTCAGAGGCAGAGGCCGAGTGAAGAAGAAGCAGAGTGTGAATGAGAGAATGTGAAAAGAACAACAAAAGCTGCGGGACAGGGTGGGTTTAGCCACTGCAAATTAATTTCTTCATTCTGGCTATAATAATGATCCAATCGGATCGCAATTTGGTGATCTGATAGATATGGTCATTCCCTACGGAATGGCGTTTTTAGTTTTCTTTTATCTTCAAAATTGTAGATTTGGGAGGTTTTCGCCCTTTTGCGGGGGCTGAAGGGAAGTGGCTCATTTTTTAAATACACTTGTAACAGTGTAAGCATACAGAAGTCTGGATGCAACATTTTGTGGCTCTAGCTTTTATGGTCTCTGGCGCTCAACAAGACGGACAGACAGACATGGCTCAATCGACTCGGCTATTGATGCTGATCAAAAATATAAATACTCATACAACCTTTATTCGCACAAATACAATATACCCTATTTACTCTTCGAATACCGGGTATAAAAAATGTAAAATTTTACAAATAACCGCTAAGGTGCAAATGTAGTACTGAGTGCCGGGTATAAAAGTTGTGACGCGTAAGAATCGTCTCACACGTCCCTTCTCGTTTTAATTTTTCCTGTCTGGGTCTGGGAAACCCCAACGAGTGGTCCAGTCTAATTAGCATTAATCTCTCGTATCTCTCTATACGTAATACGAAAATTGTCTACGTTAGTTTCGCTCAACGGTAATGTAATTAATTATTAGTAGTAGAACATTTCCCAGGAAAATGACGTTGCTTATATTTTGTTATGTTCCGTCTTTTTGCCGCCCTGGTTTATCGTTCCCGGCTAGCTCTCGGGGAAGTCAGGTTAACAAAAAACCTATTTTCTCACGTGTAACGGACAGATCTCATTTTTTTTACACGCGTCTACGTTGGCACTCTTCTCGGCAGGGTCAGTCGGTGTTTTATTTGATTATAATTCACCATTTCTTTAATTTTATAACTATTCTTAATTCCTAAAACATTTTGTTACCTCCACTGACATTCACCTTGCGGAATAAATAAATACTAACATTAAAATACGAAAATTAAAATAAAAAAAATACACACGGATTCTATTTTTCTGCCCGAGGTGGCATCCCCAATTTTAGGTAAACAAACCGGCTGAAATAGACATTCAAATTTGAATGGTTAACTTAAACTAAAAAGAAGTATAAAGTGTCTGGGCACACTGCAAGCAAGTGGGGAACAACCTCTACGCCAGGTAAGTATTGGAGCAAAGCTGTAACAAGTTACATATTTCGACGTGGCGATTTCCCCCTTGTAAAGGCGGGTGGCCAAATAATTCCCCTCTACCCAAGGGTAGAGCGGTAACTTAAAACCTCAAAAAAAAAAAAAATAAATAAACTAAAAAGAGCTCTTGTTAGTAGTTATTGCATTGCTATGTATAAATTGTGAAAGGGGTGTGGTGTTCAGGGGGGGGGGGGGGGGGGGGGTATTATATTTTAATTCATGTGTGACGACTTGTGTTTTGAAATATAAAGTCAAATTTTATTTTTTTTTTCGTCTTAGGTTGCCGACCAATCTCTTGCACTTCTTCCCGGAAACTGACCCTCTCAATATATCCTTTACGGCCACGTTTCCTTCTCTCCTCCTTGCCACCTTGCATCCCTTTTTCACCCTCCCAGGATCCACACCAGAGGCTGCTGTCTGCTCTTCTTCTCCAGCCCTGTCGGTTATCGGCTACTTCAGAAAGCCGTCCATAACAATTTTAGACGCCAACCAATGTTTCTGAACGCCTTTACAAGCACATACCATAAAGAGGGGGTCAATGGAATACCGCTCTTGAGCGCCTTAGTGAAATACTTGATAATAAATAAGTATCAATTATATTTGTAGAAATATCCTTTGAGCTTCTTATTTTTACTTGACTATAAAATCTTAGAAAAAGACGGGATACGGGATTTGACTCTTGTCGCTGTATATTTGCTTGATCAGGATCAAGGATACTCACTTTTTCGCATTGTGAAAACACTTTGCGTACATTAAAAATATTTGTGCAGTTAATTGTTTCCACTAAAAACACAAATTTTCTGAATTTAAAGAAAACGGTCTTGGATTTTTACAATTGAGTTCTGCTACATCTTAACTACACGTTAAAATTTGCGCTGTTGCAAGGTTTGGTACTGTAATGCGCGATAACAGCCGCACTTAACAGTGCAATAACAGTGCATAGTTCGGTTTAGCTTTGGTTCAGTGGTTCCAAAGAATTAATGAACAAAAACTTGTCATTAGCGGGAAATTCAAACACTGCCCAAAGTAACATCAAAGATAAAACTACTCGACACGATTTTGCAGCTTCGATCCAGCCATACTTTTTCTGCAAGATATGGGGCTTAGAAATGGTTTGATGATACTTTTTTTTTACTATCAAAGAAACCGTTACAAGAAAAAGGTTTTAAAAAAAGTGTCTGTCATAGAAAAATTTTAAAGCCCTGTCATTCAGATAAAGTCGGTTTGGTAAGAAGCGGAAAAAAAGTTCGATTTTGTCGAGAAGTGTTATTATCCAGTTTTTCAGATGAAGTATGATAAAATATGTACATACACATGTACATTTGTATGTATGTACATATGTATGTATGCATGTATATGACAAGTACTGAAGTTGGATCCAGGAACACGCTTCGTCTTCACTGACCGCTGGTCCGCAGGTAACTAAGCCTTATTTATGCTAAGAAAGTTTCTTCTAGCAAGCCCCATCTTCATTTAATGTTAATTTTATTTCTTCTTCTAAGTAAATGTGGCTAAGGACCTGTCGGTGTCAAAGTAACAGCCAATAGTCAGCATTAAAAAACGTCAGTATCTAGTCAATTATGACACTTTGGCTTTGACACAATCTGAAAAAATTCAAGACTACTCACAAAGTTTTTAGTTTTTTGTTTACATTAGTATATAATTACAATAGTTACTACTTGCTCCTACTTCACAATAAAATCTACTGTTTTGGTCTGAATAATATTGATGTTAAGATGTGAATGTCGCTAGTTTGTCCCAATAGTGTCTTTGTCCGATTAATGGTGTGATACAAGTGTTTTTGTAACTTGCAATGTGAAGTTACTATTTTTTTGTTTAACTACTGTCGAGAGCCAAATCTTCAATCTCGGACGTTATTTTAGCCACATCAACTAGGGTATCGTCATCAGATACTTCCTCATCCTTCAGGTCCGCGTCCTCTGTTAACGGTTTCAAGTCGATTAATTTCCAATCTTCGTCAACTGCCTCGTTCTCTTCGGTATCTTTGTTACAAAAAGATGTGGTCAATTCGTTTAACGAATTCTCCAAGGTACCGACCCGAGCCAGGAGAAGATCCAAGCGTTTGTCCATCGCTTCCAGTGACTGAGAGCTGGAAGTAGGGTAGGCTGCACCTTTTGCCTTTACTTTCCGCACGCCAGAGCTGCTGCAAGGTTTCTCACTAGCGTTCGTCGAAGACATCTGAGTTCCGAAAATATTTTTTCGCTTTTCTGTCGAAATTTGTCAAATTTTTGTTGAACTGTAGATGAATTTGAAAGATGAATGTACACACATATGTCTCGGTGTGCTAAGGTCTCCCAAAAATGTCCCAAATAAAGATTCATTCAGAACAGCCAGCTAAGAGAGCGTTAAACTCCATATCACCACTCGAGACGAAAAAGAATCTCGATCTCCGACCACGCACACCTCCATCGGCATGGGTGTCCGGTACATGCACACGTACACATTCATATCTTTGGGTGCGGAGAACTTGTATCTTTTTATCTCTTGGAGCTTTTAGTGAGCGAGCGAGCGGCGAACGGTAAACAACAACTGGCGAGGCAGTAGCTGCGGGACCGCGACAAAACAAGGCAAAAACATTAGATTGAGGAGAAAACTCAAAGCCCACGAAAATGTGTCAGTCAGATGCGGAACCTGCGATCCAGTGCAAAATTTACATTTGAATAATTACGCAAGTCGCAGACACGTGAGTGCAGGAAGACTAATGTCTGAAAATGAAAAGTGGGCAAAAGCGAAAGTGGAAGTTCAAAACAATGCTCATTTGTACGTAGCATCTGCATATCTCCTTGAACATTTTAATGTGTAGTGTAATCAAGTGCAAAGCAGATACAATATTCGTCTATCCGTTATTCGCATCTATGTCAGAAAAAACAGAAGTTTCAACACCAGTTCTACGTAAGTTTCATTAGGCAATGATGGTATTTAAATTTCATATGTGTGTATGTTTAACTTTTTCACCCATCGCCGTCGTCTGGGAGCCGTTCATCTTTTGTTTGCCCCCTTGTATTTACAGCTGGTTGATGGAAACCAGTTTGCTAGCAAGCCATAGTCAGTGCTTCTAACGATATTTACTTTTTGGGCATCAGACGTTGAATTAACCCGCCTGAATTTCGGTTTCGAGCTGCACCAAGCGGTTGAAGTTTCTTACATTTTCCAGCTTTGTTCTTAGCGCCTAGTAAAGCAACTGTAATTTTTTATGGTATTATTCATATTTTTATGCTTTCAATCTGGAAAAACATTAAAAAATATAAAAAATTGAAAAAAGAAGCGCGACAGCGAAATTACCTAATTAGCAGAGCAAGGTTTCGATCCTCGGACCTCTGGGTTATGGGCCCAGCACGCTTCCACTGCGCCACTCTGCTTGTTCCAAAAATGTTGCCAGAAACTATTTATACCTGTCGGACGAACAACGTTCCACCCTGCAGTGCAAAGACAAAATGGGAGGAAATTGTTAAAGTTACTTATTACTTAAAATTTCAATTTTTATATCAGCAGATACAATAATCTATATATTAGCCAAGAATACTTGTATTCATTTTAAATAAAATAAAGTAAAATAAATTCAAGTCAGTACAAAATATAAAACATATAATAATTGCGCACCGCTTGCCAGCTGTCGGTTGTATAGCGCTTTAGACACATACAGCACAACGAGCAGAGTGGCGCAGTGGAAGCGTGCTGGGCCCATAACCCAGAGGTCCGAGGATCGAAACCTTGCTCTGCTAATGTTTCTAACTCGCTGTGTAGCGTTTATTTTTTTAAATCTTTTTACACCCGGTACCCGAAGGGTACATAGGGTCTATTGTATATGTTTCGTTTCCGACCCCATAAAATGTATATATTCTTGATTATCATCAATAGCCGTATCGATACAGCCATGTCTGTATGTCCGTCTTATTTGTCGGCTAGTTCTCATAAGAGCTAGAGCCACCTAATTTTGCCTCCAGACTGTTGTGCTATTCCACCTATACAAGTGTCGTTAAAATATTAGGATCGCCCTCTCCAACCCCCTCAAAAAATGCAAAATGTAATATGTTAAATTCCAAAAAAAAAACCACTTATGTACAATTTCACTGACTGAGTACCGGGTATAAAAGTTGTGACGCGTACGAAGCGTCACACAAACGTTCCTGCTCGTTTCTTTTCTTAAATCATTTATAAGCATTATTGCATACTTGGATATCTTATCTACTGCATTGTTTAACTTTATTCAGTTTGGTTAATACAAGAATATTGTATATGGACTACGCAACTAAAAGAGAAACTACAACTAGTGCGATGAATGGTTTACTGCCGTTACTAACAGTCAGTAATCCTCGTCGCAGAAGCAGCCATCCCGCGAGTTCTCCACAATCCAGTCTAGATACTTGGTCACTCGAGTGTAGACCCCCGGATAGTTAGGCCGCGCACATCCATTTCCCCAGGAGACGATACCGATTTGCTCGAAGCGTTTGTCGTCTGGGCGCATTCGAACCAAAGGCCCGCCGGAGTCGCCCTGACAGCTGTCGCGTCCACCCACTCCTGGATAGCCGGAACACATCATGTTCTTGGTGATCATCTTCTGGGTGTAGTTGGTTTGGGCCACACACTCCTCGTTGTCCAGAACCGGCACCTCAACCTCCTGCAACAGGCAGGAGGGCTTCCCATCCTCCTTGAGGGTTCCCCAGCCAGTTGCGGTAGCACGGGTACCCACAAACAGTTCGTTGCGCTGCGCCACGCGTGGCAGGCAGATAGGGCGTATGAAGCTGGTGATGGGCACTCTGTCGTTCAGTCGGAGCAAGGCAATGTCATTATCGAAGTTGGAGAAGCTGAATTTCTGGCTGAAGGCGCGCAGTACGAAGCGCGTTTCGGGCCGCTCTTTGTCGTTGCAGCGGTCATGCTCTCCGAAGGTCACCTTGATCATAAACCACATAAAGCCCTTGACGCAGTGCGCCGCTGTCAGCACGTAGCGATCGTTAATCAATGTCCCCCCACAATAGAACCTGTTGAAGTAACTCAGCCGAGCCATCCAGGGGTACTCGCTGACCCCAGCGGTGGTGCCTCCCACGATCCTTGACTCATCGTTCCGCTCGCCACATCTGGAAAGAGAGATCGAGATAACGATCAGATCGATTGGGTGCTGAAAACCAGTTCAAATGGGCTATGGGTTCAGAGTTCACCAACCTCGCCATAAAGAAAGTGTCAAACTGTCTTTATTGTCGGCCATAAAACAAATGAGCGATCTTTGCAGGCTTAATTGCTGTCATCTTTGGAAACACGATTCCACGTTCCATTAAACTGGTTTTAAAGTGCCAAAACCATGAACAAAATCGGAGAAAAGAAACTGCATTCAGAAAAATGTAAGAAACCACGCCAAGGAAGCGTACAAGATCGTTCTCATGTTTTTAGTATTTTTTGGCCACACAATCAATCGAAAAGCGATCCTCAGTGTGTGTCTGTTTAATCGTGTCATTGCCCCAAAATGGTGTCCCCGGCGTCCCGAAACAAAGAAGTAAAATGTGCGACAACGACCCACTTAGGAGACGACCAAGACGAAGACGCGGCATTCCCCGTACCACCTCCCTCGCAAACAATAATGTGACGCATTGGAATTGGGCTTACGCCTTATAGAGCCAGGCCTGTATAAATTACAAGTATTCATGTATTTGTGGTCAGTAGGTTCAAACATTCGCTCCTAAAGCCCAAACAGAGCTTGTTATCAAATCGTATGCAAATTAGAATTTTGTATTCTTTTAAACGCAAACACAAAGATATATTAAGAGAATACATACATATGAGATACATACAAACTCGTACACAAATATGTACACATATCATATAAAACAGGTTTTAGTCTTTTAAGAATGGACTTAAGTTAAACTTTTGATTGCCATTAATGGTTTAGGGGAAAATTTCCGAAAAATATGTGTAAAATAATGTCTCATCTGCAAAATTTGAATTCAATTGACGATCAATAATATTGACGAGCTGACCTCTACTATGATTCCTCGGGACTCCGTTTATCATACCTGATCAAACCTGAGCTGAATGGCCTTTTTCGATGTTGTTGACAAATGTTCAGCTATTTTTGGCTCAACAGCTCCACCCTTAGGAATAAGTTTCCTGCCCATCTCGTGCCTTCTACTGACTTCTTAAGTACCCTCGGGTACTTCCATATGCCAAAAGCCAAAGTTAAAATTCCCAATTGTTTGATAGTCTCTGGAAAAGTGCGTTCCAAATACATTTCTTGGGGATCAAGAAAATTCAAAGCAGATACGAAGAGAAGCTTCTACTGGAGGTTTGTTTCGAAAACACTAGGATTTAGTGAAGATGCAGGCAAATACTCGTAGCATACGTTTTAATGATGACTTATTTATCTATAATATGGTTTACAAAATAAAAAATATATCGTTTTAAGCAATACTGAAGTTTTGATTAGAAAATGTAGTGGGACCAAAGGAAAGCCTCAGTCACATTCTGTTTATATGTAGATGTGTTCTTAAAAAACCGAATTCAAGCGATGGGCCTTAAGGAGCGCAACGATTAAATCTTTGAAAGAACACCGACATCATTGCGTGATCTCCTCCTCGCAGGCACTCAAATGCTTCAGCGACTTTAACTGTTTGTGCCATTTGTATGCCGAGACAATGACAGCCCCAAAGTTGTTTGTCAATTTGCTGTTGGCGTTGTTGTTGTTATCTAACTGGAAGTTGTCATCATGACCATGACAGCTTTTGTGGCTCACCTGCAGGAACATGTCGGAGATGTTTGGTTCTGAGCTGCTGGCGAATTATTGCGATTGAAGGAACCAAGCCAATTCTTGATCGGATTTTGCCGGAATACAGGTTTATGGCCGCCGCCGACTGCCCCCAATGAGGAAGCGTTGATTGTCGCCCCAACTTCAGCTCCTATTTTAAGCTTCTTGGGCTGTTGTTGAGCTGCTGCACCCAAGGCCTGGTATTTTCCTGGTATGGAGGATAAAGATGATGTCGTTGTGTGTGTTGTTGAGGCCGGGGCCGGGCCAATGCAGGAAGCGATGGCCAGCATTAATGACCAGTGACGTAAGTTGAGCATCATCGTGTACTGGTTCTGATTCTTCTTCAGCTGTTACTGTTGCTGAGTTATGCAATTTAATGCAAGTAAGACTAATGAGCCTCTGCTTGAAACGCGTTACGCTCCTCTCGCACACGGAAAGTCGAATTCCGTTACGAATATTTCAATTCTAGATATATGGGAATCTTTTTGGAATTTTCGTTGCACTCCACTTGTTGACTATGTTAATCAAACACAGCTCATTCTACTACAGCTATAGTTTCTGCTGCGACTTGTTCTCGAAAATAATTGAATTATTTCTCACTCGTTTTGCACATAATTCAAAATGTCAACAACTCGCCCTGATCTGAGAATCTTCATTCTTTCCATACAAATGTATGTACATATGTAAAATGTATGTTCTCTTTTTCACTGTTTCTCTGGCGCTGTCTTTTTCCGCGTTTTATGTTTTTTTTTTGTTACCACCGCACACGCGAAAGTCTGCAAACTGACTGATTTGATACCAATGACCGCGCCTGCTCCAGACCCCAAGGCCCCTCCAAACAGCGCAGTCGACGCTGAAGCTGACTCCGCAGCAAAGAAAGTTGCGCATGCGCAGGGAATGCGTCGGCGCTGGGAATCGAGCAGAGGAAGCACAGGCAGAAGAACACAGAGAGCTAGACGGTAAAGGCGAGAGCGAGAGCGAAAGAGAGAGAGGGAGTGAGAGAGAGCAAGACACAGTTGGAGTTCGTTGTGTTCTCAATATGCTAATATGACAGTTTTGCTAGCGGTGTGTGTGTGATTCTTGTCGGTCCCAGTCTGTCTCCAGCTCTGAGTCGTTCCATGTCTTTGGGTCTGGGTTTGGGCCCTGCCGCCAAGATCGTCTGTTTAACGTTTACTTATTATTATCACGAAGCGTACATACCCTGAATAGCTGAATACCCACAATAGCTGAATAGATATTTATATTTATGAGTAATATATGTATATACATGCATACAGTTTAAAACCATTCATTTTAATCATCCAATACAACACAAATATGTATATAATCTAATCAATACATTTTCTGAGTGTAAAGGCATGCTTTCATATTTTCTAATGGCGCATAAGTACATTACCAATATGTACATCCTTTAAGTTAGGCAAATATGTACATACATATGTATGTAAGTTTATTTAATGGTCCCTGGGGTGAAAAGCCGTGGTTCCATTCCTTTTTTTGTTCACCCAAGAAACATAGACTACATTTTTTTATTCAGGAGGGAGATAGGTTTCAGTCTAAAACCAACTATTTATGACACTACTACGAAATTACACATATGGTACACGATCTGGGTCTTTTACCACACACATAGCAGGGAGCATTCTGTGGTATTTTATTGAACGTTTTGGTAATTCACCTGTCATCTTTTCCGAAACCTTTTCACTTGTTCAGGAAGAGGGAGCAAGGGAAAGAGAGAGATTGGGAAGTCCGACTGTTTTTATGCCTGGTACTCGAGGAGTAAATATGGTATTTGGAAGTATGGATGCAAAACTTGGTTACCCCATCTCTTATGGTCTCTGAGTACTAGGCGCTCATAAGGACGGACAGATAGATGCTTTGTGGGGTCCCTACTCGTTTTTAACTTATTTTTTTAATAATTTGTTATATGTGGTTTTTTTTTTTTTTAACTTTTTCAGAGGTAGCGTGAGAGAGCTAAAAATTCTCGATCAATTCAAAAACCTAAGAAACGCGTATTTTTCCTTTATATACAGACATATTTTAGGATTTTTTTTTAATTTCAGTATATTTTGAGTACTGAAGCCATACATATTCTGGTAGTTGGGCGTTTTTCATTTCTTTTTAGTTGGCTAACCAATTTTAGTTCATGCGTCTCTCCATACATTTTGATGAGCAAACCCTGAAACGACGCCCAATTAATGCACCTGTCAGTAAAATAATGGAGAACACAATATATAATTATTTAATTATATAAATGTATTATATAATGTTTTCGACTTACCCGAGTTAAAATTTCGTAAAAAATACCTCACATCAATTAATATTTTTGTATTTTAAAATTTAATATTTCCCAGACGGTACGCTAAAACCACAAAGTGTTTGTGTTGAATTTTTAGCTGCATAAATCAGTTTTTCAGATAAACAACCAGATGTATGATACCTAAGTTTTGTGTACCTCCAAAACAATCGTTACAAAAAAATACCAGCAATAAGCATTCTTAAAAAAAGTTCTGAACAAAACCATAATTCATTAAAAAATCGGAGTGCCCGATATCTATCAGAACGAGAAGGGACGTGGAGAAGCAGTCTGGAGCAAAATTTGGTGGCTCTTCCATTTATAGTCTCTGAGAACGAGACGGACAGACGGGCGGATGTTCAGACTGACAGACATACAGATATAGACTCGGCTATTGATGCAGATCAAGAATATATGTACATATATACTGTATGGGGTCGGAAACGTTTCCTTCTTTGCGTTACATACATTCACTTTTTGCACAATTACAATATACAGTATTTACTCTTCGAGTACCTGGGATAACAAATTGTCTTCAGACCATTTCTAATCCCCATTTCTTTCAGAAAAGTTTGTCTGGATCGAAGCGGCAAAATCGTGTCAAGTAGTTTAATTGAATCAAGATCACTTATTTATATTCAGTACAATGGTACTCACAATTGACATTAAGGATCCTCAAGCTTAAGAACTAAATATTTACATACATATGTCTCCAGGGAAATAATCAAGTACATTGTTTTGTCCTATTGTCTCTGATTTGTCTCCGTGTTTTTCTTTTGTTTTATATTTTGTGGTAAAGTTCCATCAAAAGTATTGCAGTTTCACTTGAAAAATTATCCATATTTTTAAATTTTGTTAAAGTCTACTTATCTATCCGGCAATAATTTGTCTTTTTACTTCCTTATTCCCTGGTTTCTTTGGCATGTTCATCGCCATTTGCAATTGCTATTAGCTGAATTTTCTTGTAAGCCCAGGGCACTCACCATCCACTTTCCAGTTCGCTTATGGAAAACTCAACAGTCCATGCCGAAAATAAGAAAAAAGAAATTTCAATAGGTTCCTTATTAATTGAAAGCATGCATTCAAATTTTCCTTAACTAAACTTTTATAAATTTTTACATATTTTGCAGCACACTTATTGTTCTCAGAAACCAAATGAGACGCCCTGCATCTGTAAGCAAAATTTTACAAACCCAGGGGAGCAGAATGCAATTCGCTGACATGCGAGGAAAACATTGCATCACGGGGTAGTGAGAAAAAGAGATTGCAGCAGATTAGGAAGACTAGCCAAGCAAGATGGATATGGACGGGGCTAAGAAAGCAGCATTTACCGACGAAGGACCCAATTCCAGAAACAAGCGACGAATCAGGTTTGCCCGACGCACCGCCGTCCAAGGGCGCGGCAGTATAGGAGGCGTAAGTGCCGGGATCTACAAGGCATTTCGAGAGCGCTTCCTGAGCAGCGACGATTCAGGGGACTATCGCAAGTTAAGGCAGCGCGATGCGGAGGCCGGCCAAGTGTGGAGTGATCATTTTCAATCCAGTGGCAGCTCTGGTGGGGAAAGGGAACAGGAGCCCAGCAGTAGCAGCGTGGAGGATCTTTTTACCAGCGAGACGGAGCACCGCCAATGGCGACGCCAGTCTGCTGAGCTTCGGCGCAGAGGAGCAGGCCGCAAAAAGGTTAGTGTCACGCGCACTGTCTTCCCAGCTAAAGCTCTTGGTTAGCCACTTTCCATTTTAATATCTGATTGAGCAAACTAGATACATACATGGCCCCAGATATATCTTTCAATTTCAGTTAAATCCATATGTTTATACGCTTTCATAAATAGAGGGGGATATACAATCGGTTCACTCTCAGTTTAATTTATTTACTTCTATTTTATTAATTTCCATTACTCTATTAAATGATCGTCATGATCAGAATGATGTGGATAGCGTGTAAAGAGGTATAATTTGGTAATGGGGCTAGTGGACGCTATGCTCTGTTTCAGGGGTATGAGTTAATTTTGGTTTTCTGTTGGCGGGTTATTCATACATGCATTCATACATACCATCATATGTACATATGTATATACATATGAATTTAGTTTAATTAATTTGAATGATTTTAACGAGTCAGTGATTTCAGTGAGTCAGTGCACGCGTGACTTTAGAGTCACCATTGCCCACTCATTCCAGAGAAAAATGTTTGTAGTATAAGTAGTACATATTTATACCCGGTACTCGATGAGTAAATAGGGTATATTGTATTTCTGCGGAAAAGTGTTGCACACAGAAGGATGCGTTTCCGACCCTACAGAGTATATATGTATATTCTTGATCAGCATCAAAAGCCGAGTAGATTTAGCCATGTCTGTCTGTCCGTCCGTCTGTCCGTCTGTCTTGATCTTAGAGACTATAAAAGCTAGACCCACCAAACATTGCATCCAGATTGCTGTATGCTCGCACTGTTACAAGTGTATTTCGCCCCGACCCTTCCGCCCCGCAAAGGGCGAAAATCTCTTAAGTCCCAATTTTGAAGAAAAAAGAAAACTAAAAACGCCATTCCGTAGGGAATGCCCATATCTATCAGATCACCAAATTGGGATCAGATTGGATCATTATTGTAGACAGAATGAAGAAATTAATTTGCAGTGGCTAAACCCACCCTGTCCAGCAGCTTTGGTTATTTTTTGTACATTCTCTCGTTCCACACTCTGCTTCGTGCAGCCGCACACTCTAGGGGAGGTAAAAAATGTAAAATGAAAAATGTAAAATTTGAAAAATAAACCATTAAGGTACAGATGTACTACTGAGTACCGGGTATAAAAGTGTGAAGCGTAAGAAGCGTCTCACACGTCCTTTCTCGTTAGTTTTCTTTTATCTTCAAAATTGTCAATTCAGCACACTTTCGCGATTTGCGATTTGAAATACACTTGTAACAGTGTGAGCATACAGCCTTCTGGGTGAAAATTTGGGTGGCTCTAGCTCTTATAGTCTCTGAGATCGAGGCGCTCCACCAGACGGACGGACGGACAGACAGACAGGGCTATATTGAATATATACACTTTGTGGGGTCGGAAACACTTCCTTCTGAGTGTTACATACATCAACTTTGTGCACAAATACAATATACCCTATTTACTCTTCGAGTACCGGGTATAATTATTATCAAACCATTTCTAAGCCCCATATCTTTCATAGAAAGTTGGTCTATATCGAAGCGGCAAAATCCTGTCGAGTAGTGTAATTTATAACATATAAATTTAGAGTGCATACAAGTTGAAGGAAGAAAAGAATGAACGAATGTATAAATAAACAGTCGAAAAAATGTGCGCCAGTGTGGCACCGATAAAAAAAACCCCAGCGTATACTAGGTATTTTGTCCGCCTTCTCTGTTTCGGCTCAGCAGGAACAAATATCACGTAACTGTCAGGTGCGCCTTCAGGCACCCACATGTTCCCGATGTTGGGCTGCTTTCCTTGATTTATGCACGCTACTTAATGACTTCTTAATTACATTTTATGTAAAAACCAAAAATAATATCTTGTTGAAAACAACAGACAAGAATTCAAAGGGATGGAAGTTGTAGATGTTGAGAACACAAAAATCGCAATCCTTGGCCGGGAGGAACACGTCACGCCACGCTGACAACACAATGCGGATACCGCTTTCACTTTCACCATACTAGCTGTAGCTGCTGTCGCCCAGAACTTCCAGTGTTCCATCTTGTGCAAAAAAGTCTCTTTGGCAATGGCCTTGTGGGTGCTGAAAAATGGATGGTTTCAGAGGGGTCCATATAATGGGTTAGCAGGAACAGAAGGTCATGTGTATTAAGTCAACACACATTTTACATGTCTTTCTGTAGTTCAATTCAATCTGTGCGCCAAGCAAAATACAATTACACCATGGATTCATGTTCATTGTCTGGATGCGTGGCGTTGCAGCATCTGGGTTCAATGAAATCTGTGCGCCAACCAAAATACAATTACTCCATGGATTCATGTTCATTTTATGGATGCTTCGCGTTGCAGCATATGGGTATCTGGATGACTTAGAGTCTTTTCGGATGTGCCGATACTGATGCGCATTCGACAGGACACATACCCTGTGCTCGATAGTTATTGGATTAGAAAGGTTGGATGTGTGTGCGGAATAACGCTAAAATTCAGATACATGATGCTTGCAATGCTGTTGAAGAGCAAATTGATAAAAAAAAAGGGGTTTTGATTGGGCCCAGTGAAAGAACAGGTTACCGGTCAAAGGCGAAAAGGGTCAAAACTTAGGGCTCAATTCTATTTAGGGAAGCAAGCCATGTAGTAAGACCACTAGTAGAGGGGAATCAATATATCTCACCTGAAAATACATCGAAGTACATTATAACTCAAAGCTTTACCAGAAAAATATTTAGTATGACAAATAGTACTAGCAAAAAATGAAATATATACATCATTTTAACTCAGCTGTGGGACAGTGCAAGTTAACAAACACGACTGCAATCTTTAAAATGCTGAGACACGATAGTGTCTGTCAACTGTGTAGGACAGACCCTTGCAGTGGTCATGTCGATTGTCGCAAATTAAGCGTTGTCAAGTGGATGCCCTTGACAAGGAGCAAGAATCCCTTTCGTTTTTTCTTGTTTAGGGCCCGGGACACTTTCTCCGATATTTCGTGTTAAACAAATTTAACACGTTGCTGGCGACAGGATAAAAAACGCGAACTGAAAATATTTTTTTGTCAGATGTTTAATTCAGACCCCACTGGGCTATGGATGTGGCTGTGGCTGTGGCTATTGGATCTCAGCCATGTCGTTAACGGGGTCACGTTTTCATGCTGCTCACTTTTCCCAGTCCGGCAGCTTGAAAGTGAAATAAACGTTGACCCAGTGAAAAATTCACAATTTTTGTTTCTGCGTGGCCACAGCAAGGTCAAACCTAGAGCATTAATTACACAATTTATAAGTCGCAAAACAATTGTTTTTGACAAGTGAAATACTTTGTCAGAGAGCAGTTGGCGAAAAAAAGACCACTAAAAAAAGGAGCCCAAGTTTATAATTGAAATGGCCACCCCCAAGGAGGGCCTATGTTCCTGTTGCGGCTTCACGTGAGAGGGAATTGTCGTCGGAAGGGAGGCAATGTGTTTTCAAAGGGAACTGGGTACTACCATTTTCGAGTTGGCATAGTAACCTGTCTATTTATCACATCAAAATAAACAATTATTTAACCAGGAATGAATAGTATCGAGTTGGCCATGGAAATATATACATGTTCTCTATATGTTGGATTTAAGGAATCAAGATTTCACTGAAAACTAAAAACCAACCTCCATTTATTTTTCGAGTCGTATTTTATATATTAAAAAGTCAACAAAGTGTTGCAGGAATAATTAATAAAAGAATAAGTAAAAGGAGGGAGAAAGAAGCATTCGACATATTTCACAATGTCGGTATTCGACAATCCCGACCAACTGCGTAAGCTGCAAAACCTTTTAAATCCCAGGCAGACACGTCCCGGTATCGACAACAGCAGCAGCGAGGATGAGGATGAGTCCGTGGTGAGGCACACGCGAAGTGAGTATGCGCCGACAGGACCATTGCGAAAGTGTGTATTAAGGAGATATCTTCATGGTTCAGCACCCGGCAGCATTGGTCCTCAGACAGACGCGGCATCAGCATCGTCTGCTAGTGCCAAGACAAAGAAAAAGAAAAAGCCCAATCCCTTGGCCACTCCCTTGGTGGAGGAGCAAAAGAAGCAGCCTGATACCCTTGAGGAGTGGCAAGAGCAGCAGGAACGAGAGGACACTGATATTCTGGAGACCAGAAAGTGCCCAGAATACACCATGACCTACAGCCAGGCCGTGGGTACTGAAGATGTCTTCCTGCAGGTTGCCTCAACTAACTTTGTCCGCTAGCCCAAGATCGTTTAGTAACTCCACGAATGCATTTTAGATGGGAAATCGTACGGGCTCATCAGCTAGCTGCGAAAATCTTATTCTGGATATTCATCTTCCAGATGAGGAGACGACAGCAGACAAGATGAAATTGACTCTGCAGGAAAGGGATTTGGATCTGGCCACCGTTCTCTATCGCCTTCGCCTGCCTCTGCCCCATCCCGTAGAGGTGGATCGCTGCCAAGCCAAATACAGCACGGAACTTAGGAAGTTACGCCTAACGCTCCGCTTACGTCGGGAGCTAGATTATGTCAACTTTTGAATAGAGAAGCAATTGGAGCTCTTGATACACACGATACACAACACATATCATGCGACAAACGATACACGACAGAAACGCCATTTAGCTCGACTCTCCCAACATTATCTTTCCTGGTAGTCATCCCTTCTCCCCTCTCCAGTAGTTACAAAACTAGACTTTGAACTAAACATATCAATGAACAAATTTGATGTAGTCGTGGAGCAATCTTTCAACTAAAGTTATAAATGTTAATACAAATTTACTGTTGCACCACTGCAATTGCATGTTGCAGTTGCTCGTCATATGATGCAATTCGCTGGCCTTGGCAGCATTTTCCGCAGATCTAAAGCAAATATCGTGACGGTAGTGAACTTCTCGCATTGGAAATTTAATTGGCGGTACTTTAGCCTCGCTCTCTATTGTCGAGTAGCGAATACGCCTCATGGTTCGTGCAGTTTGGTCAAATCACAAAAAACGCTGAAACGGGGCATGAAGTATTCTCCGACCTCTCCGGTTTCTCCGATCCTTTATGACGCTGTCAAAAATCACTTTTGGTAAATATTTGTCATGCACAGGCAGCCAGTGACATAACAAAAGTCAAATACAATAAAGTAAGCAAAGAAAAATGAAAAGTAGAAAATGGAAATTCTATTATACATACCTCGGCAATGACTTTGCCAGGCAGAACTTTGGTTTTGGTCCCACAATTACTTTCCTCTGGGTCTTTGGCTGCGTTTTTGCTCATTTACTCTAACTGACGCTGGCACATATCAATTTGTGCGCTCCGGGCAAGCTGAGACCCCAATCTCCCTTCGACCACGGAGACATGATAAAGTGCCGACGAGCGCTAACCTCCCTTTTTTAAAGACAAATAAAACAGACAAGTAGGTGAGACGTCTGTGAGACGCTTCGTAAGCATCACAACTTTTATACCCGGTAGGTCAGTCAGTATATCTTTTTTGTTATTTAATCACTACAGCGAAATTTAATGGTTGCACGACGATGAGCTTTGACCAGGTACTTTAGTTTATGTTGGGGGAATATTTGACAAAATATATATATATTTTACTGAACATTTTGAACTCAAACGAGAAGGAACGTGTGAGACGCTTCTTACGCGTCACAACTTTTATACCCGGCACTCAGTACTACATCTGCACCTTAGCGGTGTTTTGTCAAATTTTACATTTTTTCTTCATCTGTCATCTACATCTACAACACTTCTCACACCAAGACGCTCCTTTAGCTCGCTCCCCTTTCCTAGACCCACACACTGCAGACTCGCGGCAGAGGTAGTGTCCGCACACAGCAGAAGCAGAGTGTGAATGAGAGAATGTGAAAAAACTGACTATAATAATCCAATATGCTAGAGAATAATCAATCTGCTTTTGATGCTAATCAAGAATATATATTCTTTATGGGGTCGGACACATTTTCTTCTGCGCGTTACATGTCATCCACTTTCGAGCACAAATACAATATACCCTATTTACTCTTCGTGTGCCGGGTATAAAAAGTTTACACTAGTTAAAAAAACAAAATTAATAAATTTTTGGACAATGGAAGGAAGAATTTAAGTTATGTAAATGCCACAGTCTTGAGTCTGGGTGTACATATATTTTCGAATGTATCCGAATATTATATCAGTTAAAAAATGTTGACAAGGTTTGTTTCATATTTAGTCGTCATTGTTACAACGGTTCATAAGGCGATACTGGAAAAGTTATCGTTAAGGTAATTGATTTGAAATTGCCGAGGAAGGCTGACCGACCGGAGACGACTAACCGTTCAATGAAATTCAACAGGTCAAACAAACAAACCAACAAAAAATTTTCCATGTCTTGAAGCTACATTTCAGCAAGCAAAGAAATGGAAAACTTCCCAAAAAGCAGAAAAGTACGCAAAACTTACAGAAACCAAATGACAAACCAGAAACGCCTTTTTACCTTTTTCCGCATTTTTCGCCTTTTGTAGTGGCGCAAGGGAGCGGGGCGCAATTGTAAAATACACTTGTAACAGTGTGAGCATAGAGCCATCTGGATGCAAAATTTGGTGGCAGAACACAGAATAAAAATGTAAATTGTGCCCACTAGTCTAATGTGACACTTTACACTTGGAATTCTAGGTAGGCCAGCACAGAAAAATAGTAATTTGAATTGTAATAAAAGTTGTGTGCATGTAGTAATCCTTGAATGGAGGCATGTCCTTGCCTGTGTTTCTGCTTTTTCATAAATAATTGTTGCAGTCTGCCACACTTGAAAAATGTAATAAGCAAAGAACGCAATATCTCAGTGCCAGTCAGATCCGCTGAGTATTTACGAGTGGTTAGCCAGGTGGAAATATGTAGCGTTTCAGTATTTGTAGAAGCGGTTGATTGGAATTTCAAGCCAGGGAACATCTTTCGATGGTCCATGATTTTTCCTTTTAACTTTTTCATTTTTAATTTTCCCTTGTATACATCTATTGCCCTTCAGCACTAGGTTTTGGGCTTCTGTGCTAATTGCCCTCAGATTAAAGTTAGCTGGAATTACAGCTTACAAGTCCGGTTTGCAACAAGTCACCTAACTGAAACCGAATCTTTCCTGGAATCTATTAGCCATTGCATGGGCCCTAGCGTGTAGGTCACTGGAAACTTTTCTCTTTTTTCAACTTTTTTTGCTTCATTTTCTTCCTCATAAATCCTGCGGTTTTTTTTTTTAATGACCTGTACAACTTTTTCCAGGTTTCCTCAGCACAGGGTAATACGAATATATTTAAAAAATAACAGGAGCGATAAAGAAAAACGTAAATTTTTTGGCTTAAGGGACTTAAAGTTTTGCGGAAATCTGGGAAACGAAAAGAAAAGTTGAGAACTCATCAAAAAGCACTAGCGATACTTTATAAAATTTTGGATTCCCTCTCTACTGAATTGTACACACATATTTACAGAGTTATATTTAAAGAAAATATCATAAAAACTCTCATAAAATTCCCCATTATTCAGACTAGTCATCCCCAAACACACAAGCATTGTATTTACATATCAATTTTCTCACGCAGTTTCTTTGACATTCGCAATTTACCGAATCTACCATTTTGGTCGATATACTTTCCACAGCTCATTAGCACTAACAAATTGGACCGAAAACAGAGAATGGTTGAAAGCAGACACAAAGCCACCATAAGGAAGAACATGCAGGCGAAGGCGACTTGCAAATATCACACATACGACATGTTGTAAAGTCTGTTTGCTCGTCTCTTGTAATTGTAGCTACATCTTCAGCTGGAAAAGCTTAAATGTTGCTGCATGGCGAAATAACAAAATCATTATCGAATTTAGTTAAGTTGCTTGGTCGAAGTCGCAGTTGGTTTAGGGCAGCGCATAACGACCGCTTTAACATTTTTTTCCAGATTAATTCAACATAGTAACAAATTCAACTAGAAGGAGCAAGCGAAAATAAGTGGGAGCATGGGTGGGGTGGGAGCTGCCACTCAAGCAGCCATATAAATTACATGCAGACATGAGGCGCATACGAGAGCCGTAAGGATGCGAAGGTCTTGCCATTAAGTCGCACACGTGTTAGTCCACAGAGGGTGGCAATGGGAAAGTCAGACAAGTCATTCCTGTAGTGCTAGCGGCAGCCGATGGCTCTTCCAACACACTTTCTCAAGTGGCTTCTATTTCCCTCAACCCCTAATTAAGATATATGTAAATACTACAACAAAAGCCATCAAAGACCACCAAAAGTTGATAAAAAGAAATTGTTACATTAATTCTCTGCAACATGGCTGTTAACACACGGCATTTACGAGTATGTTTCCCCGACATTGTCACGTGTCTCGACTAGAAAACATAGAGGTAAAGAGCCAAAAAAAACAAATAAAAGGCAAATGCCAATGTCAAAGTCTAGCTAAAGTGAATGTCTTTTCTTTCCTTGAGAAGGGGCTCGGCGTGACCTTTTCAATGTTGGAACACTCCATATAGGTTATGGATCCCATAAGTATATGTAAATAACAAAAAAGAAATGGTTGTATGACATTCAATTAGATCATTAAATAGTAGTGTCGGTGAGGAAGCCACATGATGTCATGTGATTCGGGCAACAGATTAGCCAACAGTTGCTCGATGGTGAGAAATGATAATTTAATGGGTTAATGTCATTAAACAAGCTTGGAAAAGTATAAAAGTAATTAAGGAATTGTTTCAAATAGAGCGAATTTATGTTATGTGAAAAATCATGGACCTTTAATAGCTTGATTTCTGATTGAAATACTTTTTTCTACATACATGTTCATTACTGACCAGAGCAAGCCTTTGATGGTTGATAGTGAAAGGAAGAGTATGAAGAAATGGTTGGCCAATATTAAGCACATAAAGGCGAAAACAGACTGAAAGAGTAATGGCAGCGACGGAAGAAGCAACCGTCCCAGCCAACCAGCAAGGCGAGAGAATGAATGCTGCATTTCTGTCTTTTGGGCTTTGTTTTCTTTTTTGTCGTTTGGGTTTCAGTGGGGTTCGAGCTGGGTGTGTGTGAACCTTGAGGACATCGTCATCAGCATCACTCTCATTGCAGTCGTTAAGTTATAGACTTTGATTTCGTTTCCTCCGTTCAACTGTGGCGCAACTTTTATCCCCAACCGACCCCACCCCTTGCCAAGTTGTTTCCGAGATTTATTTGCCTGATGACATGGTAAAGTCGCAAAGGCAGTCGACATCCATATCCTTTGCTAACTTTTCTCAAAAGTGGCTTTAATTGATTTCAGCTTTTAAATCTCAGCTGGACACATTTTACACTTTACTTAGCTTTAAGGAGGCGACGATTGGATGACTCTCTGTGACATTTCCTCGTTTCATCCCAATTCACTTTGAATTGAATTTTCAATATTTTGTAAAATATTTTTTTTTTTGAAATGCCCGAAAAACCATCAGAGGATTTTCTGGGCAAGGTCCTTCTCGAAGATAAGCTACTTGTGGAGAATTCCGACAGTGCCAACAGCAGCGATTATGCCGACTTGGCCTTGGGAGCTACGGGTACCGAAGAAGATACTGAAGAACCCAGTGAGTTCGATCAGATTTTGATTGGAATTCAGGAGCGTATGTCGCGTGTTATGGCACGAGTGAATTCGAGCTGTACACAGATTAACCAGTTACACCGGGATCTGAAGGCTCAGCTCCCCATCAGGATGAACACAGATGAGGCTAAGGCCGATATCGAAATGGCTTCTCAGAAAAAGATGACTGAAAATCTATGTGGCTCAAACCCAAATAACTGAAGAGTTCTTAACAGAAAAGGGGGAAAAACTAAAGAGGTGAAAACTATAAAGGACCTATGAATGTCAATTCAATAATTCCCAAGAAAGTTACATACTTGTAAATCAATTGCAAAAATGCAAAATAGTCTCCCATTATAAATATTGAGTTAATTTAGTTAATTCCAGGATAAAAACAAAAACAAATAAATGGGTTCCCTTTCTGTGTGGACCCTAATGTACTTGAAGGAACTCAACCAGGACAGTAGCCTAGCCCCCATGCTTCTCAAAAATATTTGATCCCAGCGTAAATGATTTCAATTCTGGTGATCAGAAAATATGACAACAGCTTAGGAGTTTATCTAACTCAAAATATGTCCAAATCTAAATATCCCTAATTTCAACCCATCCACAGTAATATGTGCCACTTTCCCTGACATTCCCAATTTATTTGATACTTTCTTTAAACCAACAATACTCTAAAACCCTGCTCAAGTTCTGGCTTTGTTCTTTCGACTGCAAATAAAGTTTTCATTGAATTTTTCAAGGGCTTTTTGTTTTCCCAAAACTTTTCCAAACCTCAAGATTTTGCATTTTGTCCAATACAAAGACAGATTGCCGGGAGCCCAAACAAATATGCTAAGAGCTATAAATGAGCATGAGAGAACATTCACAGCGTCTGGCCCAAAAATTGGCAGTACTTAGCTGTGATAGGGCCGGGCCCAGCCCGGAGTCAAAGCTGAATATAATTCGCCATAAATTGTTGACACAGCAGCGTTGAGTTATATGCAATTTTTTTATTGTCAACTTACGAAAATGTCAAAAACATTTTGTCAGATGGCAAATCTCGACAGCAAAGCAACAGCAACAGCCACGATAACAATTGCGCAGCGCGTTTATCACTTCAACTGCTGCAACTTGGCACGTTCCATCCGCCTTCTCCCCGCCGACTGGAACTGTTGTCCGCCTGACAGCATTTTCATAGTCGAGCAAGTAATGCAGCTGGAATGGGTAGTCCCAGAGTCCTAAACTCGTTCACTGTCGTTTATTTTGTAACAACTTCAGCTTCATGCTTTAGTAAACTTTTCCCCAAAGTTGCCTCTTCTTTGCGGGTGATATCCACCTTGAATGAGGCCAATTCACCGGGATGAGTTAGTGAGAGTGGAACGATACGAATTTTTCTGGCTGGCTGTAGAGCTTTGTCCAGTCTCGAAAAATGCATGTGTACACACATACATATTCTGCTTGCATGGATATGATTTTTTACAGTGCTGTCGAAACATACCCCTATGAATGCTATTAGTTTGTATTATAGAATATATTCGATATACAA